AAAAAAAACATTTGCTTGAGACTTACGGACAAAGCTCCACCTCCAAGTAATTTTCTTTTGTGCTGTCAAGGAAGAAGGACTCCACAACTGACAAGATATATACAGAAAGAAATTAAAGGCTTCGCCTTTTCCAGAAAACAAATACAATCAAATAATTAGATTTTTTGGTATGGTTACAGCAGAATACAAGCAGCTATACATAAAAAGAAAAAAAGAAAAAAATACAGTATGAGTAACAGGCACCCCTGCTAACCTTTCAACATGCTCATTATCTACCTACACTTATAATGGTTTCCTATTTATTGAGAAACATTAATGAGGCCAAATATGGGGGCCTCGTTAACCAGAAATCTGACTTCTTTAAGATCAATTAGAACAGATTGTTTATACTCAACCTCATTCCAAAGTTTAATTGCAATGTATTACCATAATAATGATAATGGGGTTACAATGATGCCTCATAAACAAGACCTGCCCATCTACCTCTCAAAAATAATTGCAAACGATGTACATCTTTAAATTCAGCTTGTATTACATCTAAAGTGTGTTTTGTGAACACTTATTTAGTGAATACAGTGTAGAGTTGGGGGGGAAATCAAAAGTAAATCTACTGATTTATTTGTATTACAAGGTAAGTTTATTTCTGTAGCACAATTGAGTACTTGAACAATGCCAAGTGCTTCACATGAATAAAAAATAACATAGTAAAAAAAGGCTGAATAAAAGCAAAAACAGAAGTTGCAATCATTGTATATGCTCCTGCACGTACTCCCCTCCCCCCAAACTCTTCCCAGTATCTTTGGGAAGTTTGTTTCAACAGAGAAGATGAGGCTATTCAGAACTGATTACATTTAAATATAGATTTAGCTACACAGGGGTAATACGATAAAGGACTCAATACAGGGTAATTCACCTTCTTCAAGCAGACAAAAACAATCAAATACACTCATTTTTTTAATGCATTTATTTTTTGTAATTTTTGGATGTTTAAAATGTTTTACATCCACTATTTAATTAGGTAATTTTGTTTTAACAATGCTTTGTTAAATAAAAAACAAAAAAAATCATAAAGGGGCAGGGAAACTTCTTAAGCTCTCAGCAAAAAGATACAGGGCTGTAAACTCTCACTCATTGGGAGTGAGACTCACCCATCTCAGTGTCTTCACACACTCTCACTCCATATTAACAATTTCTCAAACTATAAAATGACAGACACTTATTTATGCATAAAAATACCATGGTGATCAAAATCCAGTCCAGGTTTATTTTTGTGCATTGAATATGCTATAAAAACGTAATTTCCATCACACCTTCCAAACGGAAACATCCAGAGAAGTGCTGTCACCTGTCATGGTGAGTTTTTATAAGATCTACAACCTCCTATAAGGTCTGATTTGTTAGCTGTTTTGTCAATTGTAAGAAAAACTAATAACATAATGAATGAAGCTTTTTAATCCTTAGCCTATTACCAAATATTCATACACAGTGTAGTTTGCATTGGTTCCGATTGCACTGGTTCCTGTATCCGTGTCAGTAATGAATTGATAACTTATTAGTTCCCCATTGTTTAATTTACTTGAACTGCAGAGAATAATCAATAAATGAAGTTGTGAAATTCTTAGTTTAAAGTATATTTAAGATGTAAGTATTTTAGTGGTGCCAATTCTGCTTTACTTCAATTCTCCAGAAATCACCAGAATGTAGAAATAATATATATTGTGAGAAAAATGTTCCACATAACAACAGATCACTTGTTACTCAGTAACATTTACTGTGCTAGAAAAGTTCCACAGATTGCTGCTTTGTTTCAGTTAAATCCTCTTAAAACCTCCAACCTATAGCTTCACCTGTCCTCATCTAATCCTGACAGGGTTTCCTGTCCAAACTATTTCTAAATCTCACCCCAAGGTTTGGAGAAAAGTTAACAGCCCTGGAGATAATAATATGTCACAGCAAAAGGCAACAAATGCATTTTACCTTCATAATTCCAAAGTCCAGGGAAAGCGATACCGGGTTCACCTGGAGGAGCTGCTGGGTCGTTGAAAAATGTTCCAGACACCTCCATTCGCATCCCAGATTTCCCATCAGAGAAGGAAATCCTGATTGGATCATGATCCACAGGGCTGCTGTCCCAGGTGTGCTGGATAGCAAACTCCATTTTCCTAAAAGGGATGAAAAGATGTAATTTAGTCTGAATGGGAATATGTGGCTTGACTGCAAAACACAGTTACTTACAAACTTTCGCAGCATAGCAGAATGTGAATAAGTGTTAAAAGCTGAAACTGAAGGGAGACCCCCATCATGTCTAAATCCAGACGTTTACTGTGGCTTACTGTACTCTGTTCAACTATATTAGCAGGATTCTGCCAACATAGTGCTAACCTCTAATAAATGCCTGTTAATATGTAACCAAACAGTGATTCACTTTCTGATAAAGATGTATTTTACGTATGTGTGGGCTTACTTGATGAGGGAGGTCCCAGTGGCATTCAACTAAATAAACTATCCAGAAATTCTCCAACAACAGACGTTCGGTAAAACTAATATTAGCTGCTAACGTTGGATATCTGCCTCTCAGGCGAAATGTTTAATTGTAGAATAATTAAAAAGAAAACTAAAACAAATGAAGGAAAACGCTGCGTTTCCTGTTTGGTTTTGTATTAACAATTCCTCCAAGTAGGAACTGTCGTTCTTATCCACGTTTTAAGACGGAACGATTTCAGCGGCGCACAGCTTAGTAGCAGTTTGTTTTCTTCAAAAACCGAAGGCGGAAACTTATGTTTAAGGTAAAAACAAACAACAAAAAACTCATGTTTATTTTATCTTGTATAATCTCCCACGTTATGTTTAAGCGTTTTAAGAATGGTTACATCCGCAGTAGTTTGTTTAGCAATCAAATCGCTTGTTTTAGCTGTTGCTTTAGTGCTTTATTTAGCTGCACTGATTTCTAGAAGTAGCAACCTAAAGTAGCTCTCAGCGGTTTAAATTGCTTTTTACTTTTGCTTGGGAATTTAACATGCATGAACTGGCTATTTGGGATGGAAAAGTAATGCATGACAACTGTATTTACTTTTATTAACAGTCATTATGGATGCAGAGCTGGAATTTTTGAGAGATCAAGGTAAGCGCAGGCGGAGGAATCAACACGACTTTGTTTAATTTGATTACTATTTTTCTCAAAATGTTGTACCTTCCGATCACTGAACGCTAGACATTATGTTGAAGTAAACAGGAACTTAAGAGGACTAGAAGCACAAGATCTATATCCAGTCATTCAGCAAATATACTCCTACATGGCTGTACATCTTATTGTGGTATATGACCAATTAGATGAGCCCTTGAATGATGTATTACCTACTTTAAATTAAGTTGGAAAACGTTAAACCAAGAAAAAAGGTAAAAAGCTAATTGAAAAGTTAAACAGTAAAGTTAATAAGCCTAGTTAACAATT